TATATATATATATATTCTTTCACAAGAAAATTCTTTTTCCAAAAAACTTTTTCAAAGCAACTTTTACATCCTTATTCCTCAGGCTGTAGATCAGGGGGTTCAGCATGGGAACAATAATGGTATAAAACACCGAGGAAACTTTCCCTTGGTCCATAGAGCTGACTGATGAGGGCTGCAGGTACATGAATGCTAGAGAACCAAAGAACACAGTAACAGCTAAGATGTGGGAGCTGCAAGTACTGAAGGCTTTAGATCTGCCTTCAGTGGAGCGAATGCGGAGGATGCTGGCAATGATGAAGAAGTAGGAGCTAAGTATAGCCAGAGTTGGGAGAAAAATATTGAAAGTACTGAAGCACATACCTACTACCTCATTAATAAATGTACTGGAGCAGGAAAGCTCCAGAAGTGGGGAAAGGTCACAGAAGTAATGGTTTATGACATCAGCCTTGCAAAAATCCACTCTCAGCATGCAGCCTGTGTGAGCCGTGGCACCAACCAAGCCCATGCTGTACACCCCAGCGACCATCCAGCAACACACTTGAGAAGACATGGTAATATTGTAAAGCAAGGGGCTACAGATGGCAACGTAGCGGTCATAAGCCATTACAGCCAGCATGTGGCACTCTGCAATGGCAAACACAGAGAAAAAATAGAATTGAGCCATACAGCCAGGGTAGGAGATGATGTTCTTCTCCATTACAAAGTTCACCAACATTTTGGGGGTAATGACAGTGGCGTAGGACAGGTCAATCAAGGACAGACTGCTGAGGAGATAGTACATGGGGGTGTGCAGGTAAGAACTGAGCCTGATGAGGGTGATCATGCCCAGGTTCCCCACCACCGTGAGCGCATAGATTCCCAGGAAGAGCAGGAAGAGGGGCAGCTGGAGCTCTGGTTTCTCTGTTAACCCAGCGAGGATGAAGTAAGTCACTGTGGAGTGGTTTCCTTCTTCCATATTCTTCTGTTAATTCTATGTAAGAAGTAAAGAAAAGAATTGAAATAGGTGTTTATTGACTCGTGAAACAATGAAATATGTTATTCTACTCCCTGTAACCAGGCATCTCCAGTTTTCAGTTAGCTCCTCATCTTATTAGATATCAGTGACATCGGAATTGAAGATTTGCAGGACATATAAATGAATATCTTGTAAAACTATCTTATTTCTGTTCTCATCTGTAAGAATTAGTGTTCCTAGTACCCTGTCCTTCAAGATCCAAATACTTCTTATTACACACTTGCAATCATCTCAACATCACTAAAGAGAAAGTAGTTTTATGTCAAAGTGACACACACACACACATGCGTGCGTGCGCTCGTAAAACACAGCCAATACCACATTTATTGGTGAATGACTGATCTCCCTTAAAATAAAGAACAAGGAAAGAAGTCCACTTCCTTCATTTATATTCAGTATCACACTACTGGTTCTAAGTAGTACAATCAGGCAAAAATGAATTTAAAACACACCCATATTGGAAAAGAAAAATTAACCCTTTCTCTATTTCAAAATCATATATATATATATATATATTTTTTTTTGGTACCAAGGATTGAACTCGGGTCCTTGCGCTTGCAAGGCAGGCCACCGAACCGCTGAGCTAAACCCCGGCCCAAAATCATATATCATTTTAATAAAATATCTAAATAATTTATTAAAAATATTAGAACTAATTTTAAAAATTAAGAAAGATGGTAGAATATAAGATCAGCAGAAAACACCTATTGAATTTTACAAATTAAAAGAGCCAGATAAAGAATAAAATGCTAAGAATTAAATAAATGAAATTTGACATTGCAATGAAAATTGCAAAACATTTATTGAATGGAATTGATGTCCTTAATAATAAGAAAGTTATATCATGACCATAAAAGAAAAGTCTCAAGAATTTAAAAAGACTAATGTTTCACAAATTGGACTGCAAATTAGGGGCAACGTTATAAAAATTGCATCTCTATTACATGGAGATATTAACAAGCTAATAAAAAAATCCCTACAAAAATGTAAGAAACTCAGAGTAATCAAAAACCTCAAAAAGAAGAAGAAAGCTAGATGTTAGAAAACTTATTATAAATTTACAATGATTAAGACATGTAGTGTTGTCATAAGTAGTATGGACATGTAGATCAATAAGTGAGATATAATCAACAAAGAATAAAATCACATCTATAATGACTGTAATCGTTATAAGTTTTTTATTACAGCTGAATTGGGAAAGAATAATTATTTCAACAAATGACATTGGGCAATTTGAGAACTGTGGGTAAAAAGAATAATGAAAGCTTTCTTAAATCATTCATAATAATTTATTCAAAATGTGTTATAGGGCCAAATATAATATCTAACACTGTAACAATATCAGAAAGAGATTTAAAAAAAGAGATAATAGTTCTGAGCTTTTATTAGAGGAATTTTATTGTAGATAATAGCCCCCAAACAGTATCATAAAATCATGGGAAGTTCCACATAAAACTTAAAAATGTTGTGCTTTAAAGAATACCATCCAGAAAGTAAGGAAAATGCTGAAAGTGGAAAATTATCTCCAATATATCTGAGGAAGAACTTTTAGTCTCTATTCATAAAAACTTTTATCATTGAATAGTTAAATGAACACATAGTCCAATTTTTAAAATTCATAGAATCTAAATAAACATTCCCCTATTTGAGATCTGCAAATGATCATTAAGCACCTGACAAGGTTTGTATCATCTTTGATCATTAAGGAAATTCAAATTAAAACCAGAGTGAGTAAACATTTCACATCTGTCAGGACGATTATGACATGAAAATAGTTAAAAAGAAGTGTTGGCAAGAATGTGAAGAAAACATATACATTGCTAAAAGGATTGTAAAGTGGTAGAGACTGTTAGGAAATAGTTTGGCAGGTATTCAAAATATCAAAGGTAAAGTCAGCTTATGACCCAACAATTTCCCTGGGTGCACACCTAAAAGAATAAATAGCACTCATCTTCATAAAAAAATTGTACATGAGTATTCCAAGAAGCACAACTCATAATATCCAAAGAAAGGAAGCCATCTCAATGTCCATACAATGACAAATAGACAAGCAAAATACAGGATATTGATATAAAGGAGAAATGATCAGCAATAAACAATAAAGTGCTAAGATCTGCCACATCCTGAATGAACCTGAAAATATAAAGTAAAAAAAACGTCATGGCTTATGTCAGTGCACTTGTGTAAAGTATCCTGAAGGGACAAATTCATAAAGTAAGAAAGTATTTTGCTGTCTGCCAGTGGCCACGGGGTGTGACTGCTAGTGGCTCTTTTTGAAGGGGCAATAAAAATATTCTACAATTAGAACACAGTTATGATTGTACAACTTTATGCATATACAAAAAATGAATTATAAACTAACAAATGTGTATTTTATGTCAGTCATAATTCAGTAAATGTGTTATACAATTTCAAACCACAAAAGAATAGCAATGGTACCATGGTGACCAGACAAATATTTCATCAAAACCTCCTAATTCATCCCCATCCTGAACTTCTGCATCCTCTAGGCTTTTCTTGGGGATGCCTCTGTCTTTCTGACAAGTGTCCTCTTTAAGTTTTTCTCAAAGTGTTGTGACATTTCTCTCTCTGACAAAAGAACAAAATCTATGTTACATTGACTCAAGTGCTCTAACTGCCTGTTACTAACCGACTTTTCCTCTCAAGTACATAAGCAAGAAAAATTCAGGCCTCTTTAACACTGAAGTTTTAAGAAAGGCACAAGGGAGATACATACTCAGTTTAAAATATTTCTACTATGACTTTTCTTGGAGAAAAACATGAACAAGTAGAAAAAAATTAAAATTAGCATAATTAATGATGACATAAATCACAGTTTATTTGAAGAGACTGTCACAAAAAAATCATCCAAAAGACATAAGTGAGAACCTAGGAACATGATGTCTGACACCGGACAGTGTCAGTCTCTAGTCCCCCACCTCCCGGGGAGGACTGCCATTCCAAATCTGGGCTGATACTCATTTCACTGGAAGAGCTGAAGAATGTCTCTACAATATGAAATACTGTGTGGAAGAAGCTGAGCTTCCATATTGCTGTGATTTGAATGTGTCCTCTATGTATTTCTGACTCTACATCGGTCACTTGACTGCTTTTCCTGCCTCCCCTCAAGACTGTCCCACTGCAAGCCCCCATTCCCAAAACTCCATTTTCTCCTGCCCTGACGTGTGGGGCTCTGACCACCTCATGTTGCCTGCTCCCTATGTAGTGAGATTCCGACACTTGTTTTTAATTCTTTTGCTCTGATTCCCCTCTGCTAAACCACCTGTGTATTTGAATGCGTTTGACCTTCATAGAGGTTTCCCAAATAATATACTCTGTATGAGTTGCCTGAGCTTTCATTTGTCATATCCAACTTTGAGAGGAGTGAATTATAAGCAAAATGACAAAACATTTTAAGGGAAAAAGACTTTCTTTGTTTGTTCACTTCTTACTAGTTTTATTTTGGTAGAATTTAAGTTTTGTACCAAAGAAATGTACATATTTAATGTCCACAATGAGGATGGGCAGAGACAGATTAATAGCTCTGTGCCTCTCTTCTTACATTTGAAGAGAGACTGCAGCAGAAGAGTCAAAAATGTTAAAAGTCTCTGTTTGAGATTAGATCATACCTTTCCTTCTTTCCAGAGAGTTCAGTGTTGCACATTGCCCCAAAATATCCTTTGACTCAGTAATCCCATTCTCTGATGAAACTGATGTTCAAAACCATCTGCGACTCTGCAGAAGTGTGACAATGTGTAATGACATCCCACTAGACTTTCATCTCATAAAAAATCTACTCTAGGGGGAAGAATCCATTAGAATTTTTCCTTTTCCCCACTGGTTTCTGCAGTATTTATTGCTTTCACATAGGGAAATCCATTCCTCTGTTGTGCGCAAGTGGAGAAATCCCCAAGAAGACCACCAGGAAACTCTTCCGATGTAAATACATGAGGAGTTTATTGCAAGCTTGTGGGCAGGGGTTTGCGGGGGAGATTTATCTTAGTCATCTAATCGCAACAGCCGGTTTCGCCATACTTTGACCTGTCTGCAGTTTCTGGAATAAACCGCACAGTTGCGATTCCAGGAAATTGCTCAGTTGCAATTCCCGAAAAACCTGGTGTTTGGTTAATCTATTTTTTGGCAGGGGAAGGCTATTTGCAGAGTTTAAAGGTCAGCCCGAATAATGGAGCGTCTAATCTGGCTTAGCTAAAACGAAGGGACTTTGGCCTCCTTTTGGTTCCTCGCCTCTCGTTAGATCATAGATTAAAAGGAAGAATGTGAGAGGTATTCCTTCATCTGTAATAAGTACCATGCTGTGACATTTAAAATTCAAACTTCGGGGAAATTTCTAACATAGGCACTAAAGGAATTATACAAAGTGCCTCCTCGCAAGAGCAAAAATAGTAATCAGTAAAGAATCAGTATCTGTGTGACTTGAACACATTATTTTCATTTCCCCTCACAACTCTATTCATTTAATGTGGCATGTTCATAAAACAGCATATTTTGGAATTTTTTAGTCTGCCTTTTGAAAAAGCAGCTTTCCTTCACCTCCCAAGTTTAAATATTATAGGTACTGCCACAGATGTGTGATAAGAGACTAGCAAGACGAAGGAGGAGAGATGAGGAGCGTTTTCCTTCTAATCATAAATGACAAATTGAAGAACAATGGAAACAAATGTATTAGAGGACATATTTTTGTATTAAACTATTTGATAGTAATATTATATTTAATAATTTCACTTAGTACTCATTAAATAGTGTATAATTTTGAAACAATAATTACAATAAATCTTTTTCATTTGGTTTATTTTTAAATACTTTAAGAGGATTTTAATGTGGAATTTTATTATATGTCTTAAAGATGTATTTTGTAAATTGCTAAGGACTGTCCTTCAAGCTTTAATGGATAAAAACTTAGAGTAATTCACAAGCCCCAT